TCCATTGGTACAAGTCCCCCTGTGTACCTGAAATTCTTGAGACATCAAAAGACTTGAAGCCCACAACAAAGTAAATGGTGTCTTCTTCCATCAGATCAATGGTGAAAAGGGTTTCAGAAGAGAGAAGATAGAGAAGAGGGATGAGAATCAATGGAGAAGTGGGTATCAGAAGAAAGAGGAGGGAGAGATAAAGAAGAGAAGGAGGACGAGAGGGGTTAATCCCGGTGATCAGAAGGATCACCGGAGAGGGAAAGGGAATGGAAGATAGGTTAGGTCATATTCTTGGGGAATGTGCCTGGGAGCATTTTGAAATTCAAATTGCAAATGCTTGAGTTTGCATTTTCCTTTCAGTTCCAAAATTCTGTATTTTGTCTCTGTTCTGCTTTTTTCTGTTTAGTAATGTTTTTGGTTGTTTATCTATGCAAATTCAATATTTTTTATTATTTTATTAAATTGGTCATGACTCTCTTGCATAATTGATATAGAATTTGGTTATAAACTTCACTACTGCTGAGAGGAAATGTAACACATGGTGTCTGAGAGACTTTGCACTTGTGAGTTGCAATGTTTTCAGTTCATATGTCAAACTTGTTCTCAGTAGTGCATTATTGGTCTTGCTGCTTTTAAGGTTTTCAGACACATCATATTTTTTTTATCTGCTACTGGAGTATGTTTGATGCTTATTAATGACGAAATGGTAAACTTGTTTGTCTGTCTTCATATGCAGGTTCGCTCAATCAAATAATCGACACTGACTACAATTTGGATTCTCCCTGGCTCAATGATAAGACAACCCCGTTCTATACTTCATCAAGACGATAATCATGTCTTTCCTCCAAATACCATTTGCGCAAGTCAAACTAATGATAGGTGAGCAAAATCACGCACACATGGTTTAGCGGTTTGCTATGTTCTGTGATCTTATTCTGTTCCAACACCCTATGCATCATACTTCTTTAGCTTAGTAGGACTTCAAACATGCTATTGCGTGAAAGAAACACAGATGTTCTGGCTTAGCCTATTGCCTCTTTAAATGGGAATATAATTTCCTTGATTGACATTCATTTTTATACGAGTAAATGGTGAAAACAAATATGAAGTATCATATTTTTATGAGGTTCATAATTGAATTATTAGGTGTACATGTTTTATACAAGAATTTTCATTAAATATTGGGAAAAAGGACAAATATACCCCTGAACTATCGTAAATGGTATACAGTTACTCTCCGTCATACTTTTGGGACATTGGTACCCCTGTCGTTCAAAAACTAGAGCATATATATCCTTTATGCTAACGGACATACACGTGTCATAATCTTATCTATCGATCCGACATTTATTAAATATTGGATCGGCAAATAAGATTGCGCCACGTGTCCCTATTTAGTCTTCCGTTAAAATGAAGGGCATATATGCTCTAGTTTTTAGATGGCAGGGCACCAATGTCCCAAAAGTATGATGGAGGGTATCTGCATATCATTTACGATAGTTCGGGGGTATATTTGTCTTTTTTCCCTTAAATATTTATCGAGAAACATTGCGATGCTGAGTAGATCAAACGTTTGCTTACAAATCATTTCTAAGCGTGTGACAATTTTATTGGCCAATAATTTCATCCACGTAGCATATGTAATAACTATATGAGATGATTCATTAATCTTTTAAAATTGTTTTTTTTCACTAATTCCTTTAATATGCTAAGCTCTCTCATTCTTCGTCATTTTCAACGTTTTTAATCTTTTATGGCATATTTTCTCCTCGTCCTCGTTCTTCTTCATTTATTAACATCTAATTTTTAAATTTTTTTCTTTGAATCAATAGAAGAAGGATCTCTAATGAAAATAATTGATGTCATAAATTCATCCAAATTCAATGGAGAATAAGGACGGGAATTTATTTTTTCAATAATGATCCGTAGTTTTATTATCTAAAAATACTAACCCTTTTAGTCGAATAATTTATTCAAACTTTATTATAGTAAAATTATTTATCTGCATGAAATGCCCCTTATCATTTTTAAACAGATAACAAAGATGGTTTGATAAATTGTATATAAGAATATTGAATAGAGTGTATTAATAATAATATATGTATTAGTCATACATCTTATAAAACTAAATATGATGTATTAATTATTATACAAGAGGCTCAAAATCCTAACAAATAAAGAGTTAAACAATACTATAACTAATTAAATATTAGCCAAGAGTGTAGTAATATTAGTCCATGCATGTTTTTAACGCCTCACTATATAATTGTCTTCTCTATATATTTGTCTTCCCTTTGGCAACTCTCTTGGCATTAGAGGGATTGAGGAAGATGAGGAGCCCAACGTCTATTTTCGTGGAGTTTTGGAGCTAAAGGCGATGAGGAGTAACTCTCTTCCTTCTCCTCCTCATTTTTTTTGTTTTGTGTATGTAATGTAATGTCATTACATTGACATATTGAATTGTTAATGCAACTAATTGAAAATTTATCCAAACATTCAATAATCAAATAATTTTTTTAGCCCCTTTTCATTCTAATCAGAACTTTATTCAAGATTCTGTATTGAAATTGTTTTTTATCCAAGATTCAGTATCCAAGACTGGAGAATTTCGTTTTAAGACAATTTATGAGAACCCAAGAACTTGCCCATATAAATATGTAAAGTAGAAATTTCCAATCCAAGCAAGAATGTTACTGCAATTACCTTTTGATAGTAGTATTTTGGTCAGTGTTTATTTGATGGTGTGGAGTATGCTTAGTTCTTTATTTGAGGATGCAGCTATTTGATTGTGAATAAAACCTATTTGGGGGTATCCAAAATTTGCTGCTTTATTGGTTAGGAAAAAAAAGGGTTTTAAAAGGAGTAATCTTTTTATTGGAATTTTATTTTGGGAAAACTGGTCTAAATATTATTTGTGGCGTTTTACTCACACTTGATAGCAGTTGAAAGGTGAGAGTTCGGCCACGAGTATGGTGTTTTACTGATATTTTGAATATTAAAGATAGATAACAATTAGTGAATGGAGTAGGAGTTGAGATATTCGTGGGAACAAATGAGTAGAATTTCCAAGAATCTTTTCCGCCATTCCACAGCTAACCTAAGTATCATTTTGCTTCCCAGAGTGGCAGGCAAGTGTGGCTTTTGAATTTGGACAGAAAAATGACTAATTCTATTTCAGATATTCCAAACTTTGTTTCGAATATTACCAGAAAATTTCTAGAAGAATATGAGCAAACCCATGAACTAGATGGGAAAACATAATTCTAATATGGTACGAAACAGAAGATCCTGTGTTCTACATATACAAACTCAGTTTGCTGCATGGTTAGCAGATTGTATCATTGGAAAAACAAAGAGTAAGCATGATTAGGCAATAAAAGGGAATGCTACAGAGAGAGCAACTAACTTTGCATTTGGAGTGAAAGAAATTAGAAAATTGCAAACACCCAAGCAAGAGACAACTGGACATGTCCATGTTGTTTCGGGTGGAGATCTTCACCCTCAAAATGTCCACTAATAATGTCAAGAACTATGGGACATATTCAGAGATATGTTTGATGGGAATCTGAATGCGAGGATTGATCCAATTGCTTTTCCACCCTCATTTCTAGTAGTTTCATTTTGCATAGCCACATGATCCAGTATATTATTGTTTATCCTGAAACAAAGTATAATGCAAGACATTACAGCTGTAATGACAAGCATATGTAAGTCAAATGCCCTTTGAGATGTCACAATGTAATTCTACAATGAGGTCCAGAAAAACTAACAAACTTGTAGGTAAGAACACAGTGATAGACATCGGAATTGACATATTAAATGCACCTAAAAAGTAGAATTTGACATATCTAATTCATGGAAATTCCATCCAATAAAACGGAACCATCCCCGAACCCTGCACATAGCGGGAGCTTAGTGCACCAATCTGCCCTATTGAATCTTATGCATGCATCTCAAAATTCACTTATTGATATGGATTTTTTGCAGGAACATTCATTGAGCAAGAGGCGTTATCTTCTGCCATTGGAGGTAGGGACGTCGAGCATTCTGTAGTAGTAGTTGGTGATACGAGCAGCATAGCTCCAAGACCAATCTCATTAGGAGGAATGTATTTGTTCCTTGCATAAATTAGAGTAACATCTTCACCACCGTCTGGTATATTTTCAAATTCTGGTTCCTGTAGATTGTTATAAAGTTGCCTCTGGAGCCTTTCAACAGGTGACAAAATGTGTTGTGTAAGCTCTGATCTCTTTCTTTTTGGGACACTGTTAGGATTCCAGAAAGGATCTTTATCTTTATCTGCTTCTCACAACAAAAGGTAAATGTTACTGCACATAAAACAATAAGGTACTAATACAATAGATTTTTTTTTATTTTGGTCAAGTTAGTATTATTTTTATGGTTAAGGTATAGTTGGACTGGTCAGTTCATATCTTTATTGAAAATCCTAAATCCCTGAAATTTGTCAATTTCAGTTCATTGTATAAAGGGAAGTTAGTTCTCAAAATATAGGGGAGACACTATAATTGATGGCCTATGAGCAAGAAAGAAACCAAAGATTGTGCTTGTAGAATATCATATAGTAATTACATCCCTACGGCATATTTGGTGAAATCTTGAATGTGATTTGACATTACATAATTTGAAAGGCACATCATAGTAATCGGAAAACGACAGGAATTTCCTGTGTAAAGATAAATCCAAGTGTTGTGAATCTTGATACATGCTTATCAAGTTGTCTTAGAGCTCATGGTGTAAGTGATTCTTTTGAGTATTAGATACCAACATAAAACAGCCACTTGGACAGTAGGAGAATGCTGATAAAATTTTCTGTCTCGCTGTTAAATTTGTTGTGTAGGATCTGTAGATTCTTCCCCTGTTTTCCGCTCTTGCTTTTGGGGGTGGGGGTGGTTCAAATTTTTCCATTTCTAATCAATAGAATAAGAGAAGTTTGTAATTGGAATCTTTTGAATCAAAATAATATGCACTGCAGGATTACTTTTTGGGAAGTTGCATCTACAATTATTTGGTTGCCTAATTTCACCTATCTCATAATTTTCTTTAACTAAGGGCTCGTTTGGTACGAAGAATATGATAACTAATCTTGGGATTAATTTTAGGATGAGCTTATCCCATGTTTAGTTGGGATAAAATCACGGTATAACTTATGCCGGAATTAGTTATACCGAGATTGTAGTGTTATTTTATCCCACATTGAGGGTGGGATAACAATCCCGGGATAACTCGTTTCCCAACCATATGTGCCCTAAGAGTTTTGCGCTTACTATCATGCAAAACAGAAGAAAGAAATTGGCCAGAAATTGAGTAGGAAGATATTAGTTTTCCATTTTTTTATAACCCGTACGCTTAAGAAAGGATTTGATTCTGAACATATATCATACTTGCTGAGACAAGTTAAGTGCTCTCTATATATGTAAAAGTATTTTACCATTTGTTTCTTCCATCTGCATGCAGTTGACCGAGGATGATCCTGCTGAAACTAAGCTTGGTATGTTATTCAGTTCCTCTCCAGGACAAGCTGAAGATCCCTCCTGTCCAGAAACCACTACTCCAACTTCTAGCCCATCACGAACTAAGAGACGTGTCGTCGTCTCAGAAGGTAACTGATAGCTCTGAGTTTCTCTGTTTGCATGTCGGGGAACATAGTTATGTAGTGTCCCCCTAATGCGCCACCTTGATCCACATGCATTGCAGAGCACTGGTTTTTCAGCTGGCCCAGGTCTCCAATGGGCGGTTTCTGTTTTAGTTCAAAATTAATTATAGTTTAAACTGGGATAAATATGAATAAAATTATAACGGGTCAGAAACTAAAGCACAATGATCATTGACAATTAAGATTTTCTGTAAAAAAGGTATTGAATGTATTGCACGAGAATGGAAGTGTCATGAAACTAGAGTATGTATAATATTAGAAACAAGTGGAAATTTCCTTGTGTGAAACATGCATAGACTTTTAGGATGCTTCAACTGTATCTTTACTCACATTTTCATCACCATGTTAATGAACCATACAAGAAAGTTGAACTTTGAGCTTGATAGTAGAAAGATTTGCCTGATATGTTGAGGAACCATGCAAAATAGTTAATCCCTCGGCAGACTGCATATTTTTTCTTGCTATTTTAAGGAGGAATGTTACCATCTAAACCGACAGTAATTACGGTATAATATTAAACAGAGACTATCTCTTTCTCTAGCGCTCAACAGTAACCCCCCCCCCCCAAGCGGTGGATCTGCACGCCACTGCCCTGACCACCGGAGACCATGTAAGATTTCCCCCAGAACACCATGTGTCAGTCTTTCTTATTCCCCCTGGACTGCTCCACCTGGGTAACCCCTCAAGATCCCTAACACATCTCTTGTTGCTTTCTTGATGCAGTCAATTGTTTTAGCCCACATATTAACTGCGTCCCCACTAGCTCGATTTCTTTCTTCGTCGTCTTAAACCTCTAACTATTCCTCCTCGCCTAAGCTTTAACTAAGGTCTTGTAAGCAACCTTCTTGGCTTTCATTGTTCGTTGGACCTCTTCATACCACCACCAACCTTTTGTGCCTCTTTGGGTAACCCCTCGAGACCCCCAACACCTCTCTTGTTGCTTCTCTGATGTAGTCTGTTGTCCTAGCCCATACACTATTTGTATCCTCACTACTCCCTGAAATCCTCATAGCCACTAACTTCTCTCCAATTTCCTAAGTGTTGGATTCAATCAAGCCTCCCATTAAATCCTTGGTGGGCATATACTATTTGTGTACTCACTACTCCCATTTGGTCCTCTTCTTCTTCATCCTTTTGATCTCTAAACCCATAACCACGAGATTATGTTGGGTTGTAAGATCCCCTCTCCTGATCCAGTCCTTTCATAAACCTCTATCTGAGTCTTAACCACCACCCTACAAAAGGTCACCAAGTGCTCCTCCCTCTTCTAGAAACTGTAATTAGCTATGATCAACTCGATAGCTTACGCGAAGTTTAAAATCAAAACTCCTTCATTTCTATCCCCAAAGCCGAAAGTGCCTTGTACATCATCATATCCTCTCGAAGTGGTCCCAATGTGACTATTAAAATCCCCTCATAAAATTAGTTTCTCAGTACACGGGATAACTCTCACAACCTCGTCCAACTCCTCCCAGAACAAAGAAGGTTTTTTTGACCTCCTCGTCCAAACCCGTTTGCTGCACTTATGCACTAATTAAGTTAAGAGTTAGCCCTCCCAAAACTAGCTTAATGAACATTAACTTATCATTCACCCTCTTAATCTCTACCGCTTGCTCCTTGAGTTCCTTCTCTACTAAATGCCTACTCTATTTCTACTCGTCAATCTTCTTGAGTACCATAACTTAAATCCATCTACAACCCTAGCCTTTATTCCTACCCATTTGATTTCTTGAACACAAGCTATATTGATCTTCCTCTTCATAAGAATCTTTACTAACTCTATCGACTTACTCGTCAATGTCCCTATGTTTAAAGACCTAACTCTCAACCTAGGATCTCCCTTGGTACCCTTACCACCCCTGCCCTCCGCTCCCACTGCCAATCAAGTACATGACCATAAACTACATCAAACCCTGAACCTGAAGCCACTAATGCCAGTTATAGAATAATCAAGTGTGCAATAAACAACAAAAAATGGGCAACCCATAACGACAAATACCTAAATCTTAACATTGACAGTCACACAATACAATGACGAAAATAAATAGAAGTAATAAACTATAGAAAAGATATTGTTCAAAGTAGGAACCAAAAAATGCAGTAGTATTTATAAGGGCGCAGCAATAAATTCACGAACCTAATATCAGATTAAGGAAATCAGTTAACAAGCAAGCAACAATATGGGGCTGCACAATCTGTTAAGAAAAAATCAGATTTAGACAGACGAATCTAGGATTTCTAGAACATGGGTGCACCACTAAAAAAAAGAAGGAAACAATGTATTGAGTAGGAAGCGATTCCAAGTCCTCTATGGAAATAACTAAACATTTAACCAAGTGCTTCATTTAGCCTTTTTATAGAATGGGTACCAACATAATATTATTGGGAGGAGGCTTGGAACACTTTTCGTTCATGATGGGGTTGCACTAGGGATCGACCCTTAGCCTGTTTCTTTTTGCCTTAGTGATGGATGAATTGACAGGATATATTCAATGGAAGGTATTGTTGTTTATGCTATTTACAGATGAAATAGTATACAATAACGAGACTCGGGGTGGAGTTAACGAAAAATTATAAGTTTTGAAACAGATCTCAGTGTCTAAAGTTTCCAGGTTAAGCAAAACTAAAATAAAGTATTTCGCGTGTAACTTCAATGACGTAGCACTTGAGACAGAGGTGGATAGAACTTACGCTTGATGCCACAATGGAGACATGGACCTTGTCTACCCATAAGATCTGATCACGAATGATTCAGTTCAAATCAGGTTGAATTTGCTGCTGCTAACTTTTAGAGTTCGATTTGCTCTCAAAATCTAAAATGCCTGAGTGAGGTGACGGGCCAGCATATATATAGACAGATAAGAATTTGGTAGACTATAGCTGGTCCTTTATATGGAAATATATTAATTATGATAGATTTTTCATTAACTTTTATCTATTCTGAATTTTTCTTTTTCCCCTTATGACAGCTCATCAAATTTGATTACAGTAATTTGTGAACTATTTACACTGTTAACTCCAATGAGGGAAGTCTTAGATTCTCTATCAAATGAAAAGAGGGGTGGGGATTTGAGGCTTGGTGTGGGTGGGGTGAAAGCTTGATTTGGTGAATCTTCCTAATTTTTGGCCTTTAATCTAGTAGTCAAGACTTATTAAGCAACGAATCTTAAGTCAAGGAAGTGTTAAATAGTTTCAAGATGATAATTCAAATATCTAAGAGTGAGCAAATAAAAGAGTTGTCAAATAATAAGGACGTATAGTCTACGTTACTCGGACTCTTCAAAAACGTCAACGGGTGCGTGTTGGATTTGCAAAAAGTAGTGTATTTTTGGAGAATCCGACATGGATGCGGCATCAAAAGTGAAGAGTATGGGCAACTAAGTGTATATTGCAATAATTGCCTGCAATTGTGGAATCAGATTTAGTATTGAAAAATTCAAGGAAGGCCCTCAAATTACATTACTGAGAGCAGATCCAAAAGAGAATGATTTATGATGTCGCACATCATATTAGAGTATCTTGGGTCCATAATTATCCAAGACCAAGAGAGGAAACTTCAAGTATCTTGGGTCCATAATTATAGGAGACTGAATAATTTATGATGTCACACAGCATATTGGAGTAGGGTGGGTAAATTGATGTACTGAAAACTAATTAATATTTGGCTCGAGAGATGAGAAAATTAAAGTACTCTATGTTTTATTTTTTAACAGATGCACCATTTTATGGAAATTTGGGTATTTATTGTTTATGCATGTGAGTCTTCAAAATTTATTTGCTGAACATCAGGCACATAAATCTTACGCATAACTGAATCAAGTATCCTGTAAAGTATGAGATTATTGATAAACATAAAAGATGGGATATAGGTGGTGAATACAACTTACGCCTTATGCCACAATTGAGACATGGACCTTGTCTATCCATAAGATCTGATTATGAATGATTCAGTTCAAATCAGGTTGAATTTGCTGCTGATAACCGTTTAGAGTTCGATTTTGCTCTCAAAATCTAAAATGTCTGAGTGAGGTGATGGATCACAGTATATATAGATAGATAAGAATTTGGTAGACTACAGCTGGTCCTTTTATGGAAATAGTTGAATTATGAAAGATTTGTCATTAACTTCAATTTTTTTCCAATAATGCTTTTTTACATCCAGAAAAGAATGACTACATTCAATTTCTTTCCAATAATGCCTTTTTACATCCATTTCCCCTTGCACTAGTACAATAATCAAATCGACCGTTTTGCCGAAATATAAGATGGTCTGATTAATACTCTGCAGGTGAGAGTTGAACTCCATACAGGTGGCTCCGTGACTGATAATTGGATAAATTTCTTATTTGGTTAGTATGCCTCAACTTGTGAATCAAATTAAGAAGATACAGGTATTAACATAGAGCTGGCAATTTCCTTGGAAATTTTCTTTAAGCCTTTGGCTCCTTGATTCTGATATTCTGGTGCACCCGTAAACGACAGTACTGTGCGGTTTGCAAAAGCTCAAGCATCTTAAGGCAATGTTGCCCTAGTAAAAAGGATTTTAAAAAGAACAAACCACGTTTGTTTGATTATTAGGACAAAAAAAAAATCTAGAAGAACAAACATTTTCAAAAGAAAGCAAAACAAAAAAAAACTTTTGTCAGTTTTCTGTTACTCAAACCAAAATTGAACCAACTTCTACATTAGCCCCCAAATTCTAAATATTTTCACTTTGACCCTCTTCTTGTAAATGAATTTACTGTTTCATAACCTTCTTTTCCAGAAAGAAATGAAAAGTAAATCAGTTTCCAAAAACTTCCCAATTGACTGTTTGAACACACCTTAGTGAGTTGCCAAATCCTGAATGTTCTCATGTTTTTTCTAGACAGTTTTAATGTCAATTCAAGAGGTCCTTATCTCAACATTAGTTGTGAAAACTAGACTCATAATTTTTTGGTTAGATGATATTGACTCATCTTAAAAAGATTTCCTTGTTCTTGAAATGCAGATATCCTATTATGGTCTTAGCAACCGTTTTTTTTTTAATCGACTCGGTTATGAATGTTTCCTTTTTTAGGTGAGAGTTTCCCTGTTACTGAGATGCAGCAACGACACTTATTTTTTCCATCTTACCATGCTTGTGCATTTATATGCTACCATTGACAGAATTTTGTGTGTCTATCCATATGGATTTTTCTTTATATCATGCTTTTTCAGTCTTACCATGCTTGTGCATTTATATGTCGCCATTGACAAAATTTTGTGTATCATATGGATTTTGCTTTATGTCGTGCTTTCTCCATCTTACCATGCTGGTGCATTTATGTCCCCCATTGACAAAATTTTGTGTATTAGCCTTATGGGTTTTTCTTTATGTCATGCTTACTGACTTCCAAATAACAACCACTATTTGTGCCTCACTTTAAGCAAGTTGGGACGACTATGAATCTTCCTTATCTTGCTTCATTTAAGATCATCTCATCATGCTGGGTGATGTAAAAATATTTATTTCCTATTTAAGATTACTAATGTATTACACATGCATAGAAGCAGGGGTTTTTACCCTGTGCGCACCCAAAGGCTAGCGACTGTGGATTTCCCTTGTCATAAAAAGAATGTATTACACATGCATATTACATGATATATAGAATATCACTACAATTTTTGAATGCTTGTATGTAAATTAGGGGGGAAACAGGGAAGAAATTGTACAAAGAAAGGTGACATTTCTTAATTGCAACAACTATAGGGGTATCAAGCTGCTAAGTTACATTATGAAAGTTTGGGATAGGGTGGTAAAGATGAAGGTAAGAAGGGGTATGTCTATTTTCGAGAATCAATATGGATTCATGTTAAGGCGCTCGACTACAAAAGTCATTCATCTTTTAAGGAGACTAGTGGAGTTGTATAGAGAGTGGAAGAGGACTTGCACTTGGTGTTCATTTACCTAGATAATGCATACGACAAAGTCCCAAAACGGTCTTATGGAGATGCTTGGACGCTAGAGGCTTACCTGTGGCATATGATCAAGGACATTTATGTTGGAACCAAGATCAGGATAAGGACAGTGAGAGGAGACTCAGAGCACTTCCCGATTGTGATGGGGTTGCACGAGGGATCAACTTTTAGCTTGTTTTTATTTGCTTTGGTGATTGATGAATTGACACGGTACTAAGGTGATGTGCCATGGTATATGTTATTTATGGAGGACATAATTCTAATTGACGAGACTCGCAGCGTTTAAAGGGTTCAGGTTGAGCATGAGGTTGAGCATGATCAAGACATAATACTTTGAGTGCAAGTTCACTGACGTAACCATGAGACTCACATCGAAGTGAGGCTTGATACTAGGACATCCAAAAGAGAGGAAGTACTAAGTATCTTGGGTCTATTATCTAAAGAAACGGGAATGATATCACACATCGTATTGTTGCAAAGTGGATGAAATAGAGGTTCACTTCTGAAGTCTTGTGTTATTAAGGGAAGGTGTCACCAAAACTTAAAGGCAAGTTCTATAGAGTTTGACCAACTTTGTTGTATGGGCAGAATGTTGGACAAGGTGGAGCTCACCTCTATCGCTTTTCTTCCCCGAAGTGAGGCATAGAAGAAAAAGTGTGCACTTCTATGACTGAAGCGAGAAGAGAGAAAGGAACCGAAGGGGTGTATTAGCGAGTTCGACTGCTGCGGCTGGTTTTATATTAAAATTTTGTAAAAGCGTACTCATGCGTTTTCTCTTCCTAAACATCTGCTTAGAGTTCGACTGCTAGGAGCCCATGACTTCTCTTCAAGGTGAGTTCTTCTCTTCTCATCTTTTTTTCTATCTTCTCCTCTTCTTCTTATCTCTATTTTCTCTGCTGCTACTCAACTGCAGTGCTGGTGCTGGGTTACTCTTTTTTCTCTTCTCTATTTTTTTTTCAGTTCTTCAACTTGCTGCTATTATTTTCTTTAGTTTGCTCTGTTTTTTTCTCTATTCTGCAAAAAAAAAGAAAAATATGTTTTCTAATTTCTTTGTCTGTTCTAACATGTAATAAATGCCATATTCCACAAATTCTAGAAAGAAATAGGGAAAAAGAGAATTCAAGAGGCCCATAAGTATCAAAATAAAGATAAAGACGAGTGCACCAACTTGATATTTTGGTATTATAGTAACAAAAGAGCTTTCAGAGTCTCGGTTGTACACAAACTTTTTTTGCTTTGTAATGTTTTTCTCTGTATTTTGTCTCTGTTCTGCTTTTTTCTATTTCTTTTTTTCTGTTTAGTAATGTTTTTGGTTATTTATTTATGCAAATTCAATATTTTTTACCATTGTATTAAATTGGTTATGACTCTCTTGCATAATTGATATAGAATTTGGTTATAAACTGCACTACTGCTGAGAGGAAATGTAACACATGGTTTCTGAGACACTTTGCACTTGTGAGTTGCAATGTATTCAGTTCATATGTCAAACTTGTTCTAAGTAGTGCATTATTGGTCTTGTGAGTATGTTTGAAGCTTATTAATGACGAAATGGTGAATTTCTTTGTCTGTCTTCAGATGCAGGTTCGCTCAATCAAATAATGGACGCTGACTACGATTTGGATTGTCTCCCTGGCTCAATGGAAAGAGAAACCCGTTCTTCACTTCTTCAAGACAAAAATCATGCATTTCCTCCAAATACCATTTGTGCAAGTCAAACTCATGATAGGTGAGCAAAATCATATGCACATGGTTTAGCGGTTTGTTGTGCTCTGTGATCTTATTATTCTTCTCCAAGACCCGATGCATCATGCTTCTTTAGCTTAGTAAGACTTCAAACACGCTATTGCGTGAAAGAAACACATATGTTCTGGCTTAGCCTCTGCCTCTTTGTGATGATTTAACAAAGTGACCATAACTATTAAGTAATTTCTCTAGTTTGTAATAAGAAAGAGCCTTGCATATTTTTTGTTTAATTTTATGTGGAGAAGTATTTGATTTTCATCTCGACAACACCTTATATGAGCAAATTAATGGTCAATATATAATGGCATATTGATTCTTTGAAGAGACATTTAAGCACAATAAGCAACCAATGATGGTTCTCTATAAATCATTTTTCTCCACGACTCAAGTGCTCCATGTTACGCAACCTATGCCTTGTATACAAGTACAACTTTTATCTTCAATTACTACTTCCACACAAATATGGAAACCAATTTCAGTATGTAGACAAGTTCTTATTGATACTTTAATGAATTATCAGATAAGACAGAGTTATCTTTTTCTGCTCACAAAAGGGAAATTACCCAGAAACATAGGTATGAGTGTACTTTGATTATTGAGGATATCCTTGGAGATTTCTATTAATTCTTTTGCTCTGGTAAATTCAATGGGCATTGAATTGTTCTATGTCCTTTCAATTTTTGGTTTTAGGAGAGGAGACTTCCTTTCATCAACCATGAGGTTGAAGATTCTATACACTTACAAGGGTAGACAGTTTGGGGATGGATTGGGAGGAGGGGTGGGGGGGGGGGGAAGTTGGCTTTTCAATTATATGTATGGGAAGTGGTCAACTAGATGTGTGCCTATGGTGATAAGTGGGATGAAAAATGGAACAAAGTGGAACAGATTTAAATGGTTTACAATCTGAGTGAAATTTTGTAAAAATGAATAAATAGAACTGTGTATTTACTTACTGTGAGAGTTTTTTGAGCATTTTGTGGTTGCTCCTTGTGTTGTTCCCTATAGGTATCAATAGAAACTTAATTCCCTTCTTTTGGTAACAATTTTATCGTCTTCACCTTTGTTCTTCATATATATATTACAAGTTATAACAATTCATGGCTCCTTGTTAATTGATATACCATGGACTTGCTTCATATGACAATGAACTTGATGAACATTTCTCCATGAACTTCTTGTTCCGGGCATGTACTTACTTTCTTTCTAACTTGTTACGTAGACCTGTTTTAGGAATATGGAGGGGATCCAAGCATTTAATCTTAAAATTTGCTCATCTTTCATCTGTTCATTCTGAAGCATCTTGGGCATTTGAAATTTCTCGTCTGGAAGCTTAGGTTGAGCATTTATGCAGAAGCTGTGCTGCATATTTTTCTGACTTTTAGCTCTTCTTCTCATGCAATATAGTGCTCCTTTCATCATTTGAATGAGAATTTGGGAAAAAAGCATTCAGATTTATATAAACATCTCCAGAAAGCTACCACTGACAAGGTACTTGATGTATTCTGTAGCCACTCGTTATATTATTTTACTGAAGTGAGTTAATACATAAGACTTATGGTTGTGATTCTACTAAAATCTCCTTACTACATTTCATATCGTGCCCATGCTATAAGCTTCTGCAGTACTAATACCTGCTGATTGGTCTCATTTCAACCCTGTAAGGTTGTAAATGTTATACAAGTCCTCCCCCTGCACTTTAGTCTCATTTACTTTGTTGACTAAAGACAGCAATTGCATCAGCCATTTTTCTCTGAGAGTAGGGCTTGTGGAGGAGTATGGATCTGAAGCTGAGTGGCTTTTGCATACTTGCTGATAGTAGGTTGGCTGGAAAGATGTCATTTATTGGATGTGGCCATTTTTCTCTGAGAGTAGGGCTTGTGGAGAAGTATGGACCCGAAGCTGAGATTCTTGTAAAACACATCAAAATAGCTTTATGAGATTAACACAATCAGTATCAATGGTGCCAACAAAGGGAGTAAAATGCTACACATCATTTCAGGCAATTAGATTGCACATCTAACATGGAACAAAAATGAACAAGTGACACGTTCTAATAGACAAACAAGAACCACACTTCGCCTCTTCCCCCTCTCCCCTCTTTTTCCTTTCTTTTTGTGGTGATAAGTCAAACCACACCTCTGTTAACCTAAATATGGTATACAACGTAGAAATCCTGAACTGGTATAACCAGCATATCTAAAAAATAACATGGCATAGAAGTCAATAGCTTCCTATCCAGTTCATAGAAAAATGTCTACAGAATCAGACAATGTAATCCTAAAAAGTGCAACAGTTCTCAAGTTTGATCTAGTCCATCGTCTGCAGTCGAAAACTAAGAGAGAAACGAAAAAGAACCATATCATTTCAAAAAAAAATCTTGGGCCAGAAATCAGCAAATCAATATATAGCTGGATGTCACCATCTCCAAAAGACAGCAAGGCTCCAAGAAGATTGATGTAGCAAATATCTAGATCTATGAAAATTGACATACATTTTGAGGGAAATTGCAAAATCCAGTTAAACGGAAGCAGAAATGATCAGGTAAGCAAAAACCAGGAGACAAGTTCAAACTGGAAGAATTGTCAGTCCTGGAAAACAGCAAACACATTGTAATACGAAATACAGTACTCCAATCACTAAAACAAATATGTATGACATGTCCTTCTTAACATTGGCCTATTTGGTTTTGCAACCAAAAGTAGCTAGAAAACATGGTTTTGCATTGTTCTCCCATAAGAATAGGGAGATTTTTTTGTTCTGCGGGAACAGCTGTAATGCAAGGACCTTGTCGGTCAGGGGGTCCTTTTTAATACTTCAAAATCCTATATGATTTGTAATAAATAATGATGTTTAGCCACTTTTAACCTATTAATTTCACCCATATTGAAGTTTCAAAAAATGATTTAAGTGTACTGAAATTTATTTTACAGAAAACAACTCAAACCAATTCTCACAAAAATAAAAACACTTACTAATCTTAGCTAGGTTGATTGAGCCTCAATTTTGATTTAATTATCGTAATGTCTGACTGTAGAAAGCAGGAATTGATTATTTCTAGATAAGAAGTCTTCACAGCAGGTCATTTCAGTTCTGATCTACTTACCTCGATGATTCAACAAGGGATATGCGCCACTGCGCCAGTTCAATGGTTCTGAAATTCAGCTAAGCTTGGTGTTGCTTGATTTAGCATTTCATGGAGAGGTTGTTGTAGCAGAAGAGGTTTATACTGGAGCTTACCTGAATCTTATCCATGGGGAAAAACTCTCTAACTCGCAGCCTTCAAAGAAGATGAAGAGAGAAGGATTGAGCTGCTTCGACAAGCATCAGGTCTCAGATTGTTTGTCTGAGACTTGATTTCCTGTTTGTTTCTATTTTTAGTTTTACTTTTGTTTTTGCTTTAGTTATTTGTTGGACCGGGTTTCAGTTGGGCCTGGTCATTGTAAATATTGTTGGTTCCTTTTAATTTAATAAATGAGCTCATGCCCACTTTTAAATTAAGAAAAAAAATTCTATAAAATAAATCCAAAACCTCACATTCTTTTCCCAACCCCAAAACAAATTAAATCATAAATCCCAACAAAAAATCTCACCTTAAATTCCACAGAGGTCTTTGAAGGCTCCAAAGTCAAATCATATAAAAGATCTAGGAAAGTTTAGGTTCAACAGAAACAGTGGATATATCTGAGATCTACTTCGCTTCAAAATGTCAAAAGCACTGTCTAAACTCATAGCTATATTATTAAGTAATTTATGTATTGGTCCTTTGGAAACAAATCTTGAATTGATATCTGCATTACAAAGGTCAAGGAAAACAAAAACATCATTAACAACAAGCATCCAATATAGAAAACGTTAACCAATAATTAGTTTTCCATTTTTCTTTTGTCAGGAAAATATACTGAAATAAGTGGATACATAAATATTGAAGGACCAGCAAATTAAACAGTGGTTGTTAGGAAACAGAGAGTAGAAAAGATGACTTATCACATCTCTTATCCATCAATTTGGGCCCGTATACCTTCATTGTGTAAACATCGGGACATGAAATGTATCCTGAGAGCTTGAATGAACCATCCCTTGCATTCAATTTGTTAAGGGAACTCAGATGACTCCCAAACCCACTGGACAATAGTGGCAATGGAGAAGGAGAAGCACGTGTGCAAAACAGGTCAACCTCACTACATGCAATGAACAAAATCTAAGAAACCAGACAGAAAATATCCTTAAGTTAGCTAGTTTAACAAAGACAGACCAGACCTTTACTGAATCCCAACCCACCAAACAATAGTGGCAACGGAGAAGGAGAAGCACGTGTGCAAAGCAGGTCAACCTCACTACATGCAATGAACAAAATCTAAGAAATCAGACAGAAAATATCCTTAAGTTAGCTAGTGTAACAAAGACGGACCAGACCTTTGATAAATCCCAAACTCACTGGACAGTAGTGGCAACAGAGAAGAAGAAGAATGCGTGCAAAGCACGTCATCCTCACTGCTTGCAATGAACAAAATCTAAGAAACCAGATATAAAATATCCTTAAGTTAACTAGTGTAACAAAGACAGACCAGGCCTTTCTATATCAACAATTTTGGAGACACTGGGATGCACAAGGGCGATTCTTAGCAGAGACTCTTTCAGAGAATGAATGACCTTCTTTGGCCTTCCAGATTATATATGCAAACCAAAATATCAACCAGGTCAGAGTACAGCTTTAGAAGTAAAGTATGTAAATCAATATTTTTCATTTGTTGTGAGAAAACTAAAAGTACTTGGAGTGCATTTGCTTCCTTCGAACTGGTTGGTTGTAAATATATCACGAACAATGACTGTAAGAAGAAAAATCCGAACAAATTTCCTTATTAGCAAACACCAGTCAACTCTTGTATCAGGTAGGTTTATACAGAATTACCTGGTGTACCAACATTTTGTCTACAATCATCAATTCCAAGGAAAAAACACTTGTTGTCAACAAAGACCAAGTTAGTAGTTTTATACTTATCCTAATGGATACTACCAACTAAATCTCAAAAGAACCTTACCTTCAAAACCTTACGATATCCATTTGGCCTCCCGTGAGCTTTAGTAACAATTTCCAACAAAGAAACGTCAGAAAGAGCTCAAAGCCTCTCTTTTAAAACCAAAGCTTGCTGGGAAAGCATGCTTATCATATGAATGGCTGTATTTTGATGTCACTGGTGTAAAGGAAGCATACGAAACCATAGTTAAAATGGCTAGACAAAAAGGAAGCATAACCAAAGATGAAAGAAACAGGCACATATACGGTTTCCATAAGTTGGGCTAGAAATACCTAAGCAACAATATGTATGTTCCAGCTCAACTTCAGCTAGAATAAATAATCCAAACATCTTTACATACAGTAGTAATCAACAAAAAATATATTTACAAAGAATTTTCTGCACATCAAAATGCATTAGATCAATGTCAAAGATGCTAACACTTACCATTGTCATTCACCTTAACATAGCGGGTCCCAATGCCTATAGAGACAGATACCTGGTGTAGACTGGGCTAAAGTTTAAACCGGGAGTACACAACTTATAAGAATAACAAACATAAAAAGAAGAACATAAGATGCCATGTCAAGCAACAGTTTTTAGCTCAAGAGAGAACATGTTTGATTGTCATTTTGAGTTATACTGGAGAGAGTAATAAAAATAAGAAAAATGGAAGGTCATTTGTAATTTCACCAAAAGGGTGGTTTGGTGAAAAAAGAGAACTTATCTTTGCCTAAGCCAAAACACGATTAGCTCAACAGCATTGAAATCCATTGTGGCTACAAGCATTAGTTAGCCTGATGAGATGGAGAAGAAACACCATGAAATGGAAATTTAATTCCAAAATCTCGTAGACCCACCTGAGTCCCGAGGTGTTGTGCCAAGCAACAGTTCAATCATCTTGAGAGAAAACAAGTTTTATTGAACTTCCACGCAAGACAAAACCTCCACATCCTCATGGTTTATAAACAGAGCATAGAGAGTAATAAAAATAAGAAAAAGAGGAAGGTCATGTGTAATTCCACGAAATGGGTGGTTTGGGGGGGGGGGACGAAACTGAACTTTGCCAAGACAAAACACAAATCAACTCAAAAGCTTTGAAATATGTCATAGCTGCAAGCATCAGTTAGTACCTTATGAGACAGAGAAGATGCACCATAAAATAGAACTTTCTCCTAAATCTCATATACCCCACCCAAGGTGCCATGCCAAGCAACAGTTTTTCAGCTCAAGAGAGAACATGTTAAAATTGCTTTTTTTTAGTTATACAAAAGAGAGTAACAAGAACAAGAAAAGTAGAAGGCTCTGTAATTACACAAAAAGGGTAATTTACCGACAAAAAAAAAGTTAAATTTTGCAACGCTCAAACATGATTATCTCAAAAGCTTTGAAATCCAGCATGGCTGCAAGCATCAGTTTTCCTTCGAGACAGAGAAGAAAGACAAAAAGAATGGAACTTCTCCCAAAAATTCATAGACCCATCTCCAGTACCGTGGCAAGCAACAGTTCTTTAGCTTGACAGGAAACATGTTTGACTGAACATAGATGGATGAAAACCTCCAACTCTTCATTTTGTATAAAACAGAGCTGAGGAAGTACTAAGAATAAGAAAAGAGGGAATGCATGAGTAATATCACAAAAAGGGTGATTCGGTCAGGGATGGGAAAGAAAAGGGGTATATGATAGTTTGGAGAAAGTTCCATTTCATGGTGCCGTGCCAAGCAACAGTTTAATCAGTGTTAGACAACAAGTTTTATTGAACTTCCACGGAAGACAATACCTCCAAATCCTCATGATTTATAAAACCGAGCAGAGAGAGTAATAAGAACAAGAAAAGAGGAAGGTCATGTGTAATTTCACGAATAGGGTGGTTCGGTGAGGGGGATAAGGAAACTGAACTTTTCCAAGACAAAACACGAATCAACTGAAAAGCTTTGAAATCTGTCATGGCTGCAAGCATCAGTTAGCCTTATGAGACAGAGAAGATGTACCATGAAATGGAACTTTCTCCTAAATATCAGATACCCACATGAGGTGCCATGCCAAGCAACAGTTTTTCAGCTCAAGAGAGAACATGTTAAATTGTTTTTTGAGTTTTACCAGAGAGAGTTATAAGAACAAGAAAAGTAGAAGGCCGTGTAATTTCACCAAAAGGGTGATTTAGTGACAAAAAAAATTGAATTTTGCGACACCAAAACACGATTAGCTCAAAAGCATTCAAACCCAGCATGGCTGCAAGCATCAGTTTGCCTATAACACAGAGGAGAAAGACCAAAATAAGGAACTTTTCCCAAAATATCATTAACCAACAACTTCTTATAATTAAACTAAATTTTTTTAGAGTTGTGCGAGTGGGGCCTTCAAAAACAACTCCATATATCTCCATTAAATACATAGTAAAATCATAAAATCACAAGTCATGAGGATATTAATAATGAACAGTAAATACCCTCAACCAAATGTTGCATTAGTTATGTTGAGCTTATTTTTTCTTATGCGGATAACTGAGTGCACATAGTTATTTGGATATTACTTTTTCTTATGTGGCCAACAAATGTTATACTATTTATGCGGAAGTTTATGCTGAGATTTATATTTGCTAATGAGTCCAACCAAATGATCCCTAAGAGAAACAATCGTTTAAAGTAAATGCATTATAAGGAAATTCATGAGAAACCAAAAATGGCCAATTATGCAAAGGACAAAATAGACCTGATCAGTTATATCAGGTGTTGTGCTCGCCACAATCGGAATAAACTTCTTATCAACCTGTTGGAGAACTTTGGCACCCTCCGGGAAGTTTTTATCAATGGTATCAGGAACCAATGAATTGCCAACAAAATGCAAGACGTCAGGAGTGACACTGAGTACAGTATACTAATTATTAAGATTGTCTGTTCCAGCACTGTTCTGCATCTCAACAGGAAAAGGTAAAGTTCCTCATCTTAACAAAATAGAGAAGAAGCAAAAACATCCAAGGCATAGCTAAGGTACTCAACTGTAATGTCCGGACGTCCCTCCATTGTATCCCAGAATCTACGAAATTTTTAGTTTTTGTTGGTGCAAATTCTGAAAAATTAATTAAAGAAAAGGTCAGGACAATATTATTACAAGATCAGAACATAAGTAAGATGGAATTTATAACAGACTATGTGGCATAGGAATCTTAGAAAGAGACGTTGTAATCTCTAATGCTTTCATGATTAATAAGAATGCAGCCTAAGATAATCGTGAAAAGTGGGTGAAAGAAATGAAGCTAATTAACTGAAACATGCACTAGGAAAATTCAGCTCTTATTCAGGTCAGGGACAAGTGGCAGGAACGGTTTACCTTCTTTTAACTCCCCATCGCGTGTACATGTGCACTCCCCTTGAGCTTGCAATTTGCTATTCCAGATGTTAACAAGTTCCCTTTTCACACTTGGCCTGAAGAGAGAAACATCAGGTCGTGTTCGTTACTTCGTTACTGACATATTTAATTGAGATAATATCATAAAGAGACCTAACAAACCTCCCAAGAAATTGGATAACATTAAATTTCATCACAGAAAAACCCGTCACCACAACTTGGGGTGGAAGATTGATCACATTGATGGGATGACTGCTGTGGAAGCTCCCAGCAGATAGCTTCTGCAGAATGATGCAGTCTACTTACTGCTCTAGTTTCTGCACGACGTAAAAGAATATTAATTAGTGGCACATGTTTTCTGTCATCAATGATTAATAACACAAACAAGTACTCAAGGAAAAATTACCAAGCATGAGTGGCACATCATGAACAGTCTTAATACTGTGATTTCCTGCTGCCTTTCTTGTAGACTCACCCATGGCAAAGAACTTATTCTTGCCTTGGTAAAATGGAGGAGGTGAATGATTTCTACTACTCTTCTTCTTCCTTATAAGCTCATCCATTTTACCTCGATTTCCAGCATCAATTCATTTATGCGAGTTCCCATCCACCCTAGAGAAGAGCATTGCTCATGGTATCAAATAATTCTTAAGATTCTTTTCACATCTCTTATCCATCAATTTGGGCCTGTATACCTTCACTGTGTAAACATCAGGACCTGAGATGTTTCCTGAGAGCTTGAATGAACCATCACTTGCATTCAATTTGTTAAGGGAACGCAGATGAATCCCTAACCCACTGAACAATAGTGGCAACAGAGAAGGAGAAGCACGTGGGCAAAGTAGGTCATCCTCACTGCATGCAAATTAAAAAAAATCTATGAAACCAGACAGAAATTCTTAAGTCAATTGGTTTATCAAAGATGGACCTTTCGATAACAACCATTTTGAAGGAGACACTGGGATACACAAAAGTGATTTTCTCAGTAGAGACTCTTTCAGAGAATGTAAGACCCTCTTTGGGCTTCCAGATTATGCAAACAAAAATATCAATCAGGACAGAGTACAGCTTAAGAAGTTAAGTATGTAAATCAAATGTTTTACTTGTTTGAGTTTGAGGAAAACAAGAAGTACCTGGAGCGCATTTGCTTCCTTTGAACTGGTTGGTTGTAAAAGCACTGGAAATAGTACCCCTGAAACTCCTCTTGCATATTAGCACTAGAATTAGGCATAGGCATTGCCAAAGAAGAATGCAACCACCAAAGTGGAAAATTCGCATTGACATTATAAATTCTTGAACATAATAAACCACTAAAGCAAAACAATATCAATTACATTGTTGAATGCCAATCAAGAAACATCAAGAAGTCAAATTCTTGAACACAAAACCCTAAAGAACCTAAGACAATTAAATACAGTAGGCATCATAAGATAATCTTGAAATGGCAGTACGGAAATACATCAAAAAAAGAAGAAGAAGAGAGGAAGCTTACTTTAAGACAAAGGCAACACACACACTGATTATTAAAAATAAATAGTACCATCCAATCTTATAGCAGCAGGCATTCAACTCTTGGTAGATTTTAAAGGAAAAACAAAAGCAACAAAGAACCAGAAATCTATTTGATCCAAGTACTTCACCATTAAAGATTCCACAAACTGTTACAACCCTAGAGAAAAGCCTAAAAGTAGTTACCAAAATATCCATCAGACAACTATAGGTACCATACATTCTTCACTAAAGAAAAGACATTTTAGAATCTTGGTAAAAATTCACATAGAAATTGTAAATTCTGAAAATAATAAACCACTTAAGCAAAACGATATCAATTACATTCTTGAATTCCAATCAAGAAACATCAAGAAGTCAAATTCTCCTACATAAAGCCCTAAAGAACTTAAGACACAATTAAAATACAGTAGGCATAAGAAAATCTTGAAATAGCAGTACGAAAATCCATCCAAAAAAAAAAGAGAAAGCTTACTTGAAGAACCCAGATATCTATTTTATGTGAATCTAGTACTTCACCATTGCAGACTTCCCAAACAATTACAACCCTAGAGAAAAGCCTAAAAGTAGTGGCCGGAACATCCATCCGACAACTAGAGGTACCATGCATTCTTCACTACAGAAAAGACATGTAGAACCTTGGTTAAAAAATCACAAAGACATTGTAGAATCTTGGTTAAAAACCCACAGAATTGTAGAATCTTGGTAAAAAAATCACAAAGACATTGTAGAACCTTGGTAAAAAAATCACAAAGACATCGTAGAATCTTGGTTAAAAACCCACAAAGACATCTTAGAATCTTGGTAGACTGTAAATTCTTGAACACAATAAACCAAGTAAAACAATATCAATAACATTGTTAAATTCCAATCAAGAAGTCAAACATAAAGCACTAAAGAATCTAAGACGCAAGGCATCATAGGAAAATCTTGAAATTGAAGAGAGAAAGCTTACTGCCAGGGAGGGAGAGACACCAGACCACTACACTATGGGGGTGAGGGAGTGTTTCTTACACTTGAGCGAAAAGGACCCTTTTATAGAACTTGAAAGTTCAATATATCGTCGTTAGAACCACCTCTTTTTTAAATGTGGACGGTTTGTAGTTTTTCATTGCTATTGACTATTTATAAAGTCTGAGATCGTAAAGTATAAGGAATTTACCTTAATGATATTCTTCAAATTTTATTTTATACTTTCTAGATTGCAACTTGAAAACGTATATTAAAATGGAGAAATTATGTGGTTAAGCAAATGTATACTACTCATAGCTATAGTTTGTTATAATTATCACTTATGACTAACAATAAGTATTAATTACATGAGCTGACTTAGAGTTTATATAATTCGCTGCGTTTGTATAATTTGTCACGTTTGTATAATTCGCATAAATTAAAACAAAGAAAATAATAAGCCTGGACTTTTGTATCTAGTTTATTAAGTAATAATAGTTGAGAAAAAATCCATTTTTTTAATTAATCTATATGAGTAGGATATTAGATAAAACAGTAAGCTGGAAAGGATATTATCTTAAACAATCAGCAACATGCTTACAGTTTTATATTTGCGTAGTGATTATGCAACCTTCTTCTCTTCTCTCTCTCTATATATATCACCATTTCGAAACAAAAGGGCTCTTCTTCTTCTTCTTCTTCTTTGTTTAAATTTTTTTTATTAAAAATTGATTAACTCTCTAAATTTCACGTATGCAACATAAATCACAATAATTAACAATTTAAAATATTTAAGCAAATATATTTAAAAAATTGACGAACTATCTAAATATCACATGTGCCACATATATTATTTGAAAAGTACTTTGAAAAAAATTATATAAATAATTAACAATAAAAATTATTTAAACATTTAGTTGATTCTGCTAATTCTATCTATGTTGTACAAATTAAAATAAAATAAAAATAAGCCTGAATTTTTGCATCTAGTTTATTTTAAGTAATAATTGAGGGAAAAACATGTTTTTTAATTAGTTATTATATATGAGAAGGATATTATCTTAAACAGTAAGCTGGAAATGATATTATCTTAAACAACCAATAACACGCTTACGGTTTAATATCTGTGTAGTGGTTATGCAACCTTTCTTCTTCTTCTTCTCTCTCTGTTTATATATATCACCATTTCGAAACAAAAGGGCTCTTCTTCTTATTTGTTTTAAAAAAAAATGATTCAACTCTCTAAATTTCACATGTGCAACATAAATCACAATAATTATCAATTTAAAATATTTAAATAAATATATTTTTAAAAATTGATGAACTATCTAAATGTCACATGTGCCACGTATATTATTTGAAAAGTACTTTGAAAATTATTATATAAATAATTAACTATAAAAAATATTTACAAATTTAGTTGGCTCTCCTAATTTTATCTATGTTGCATAAATTAAAATAAAAAAAAACATGGATTTTTGTGTATAGTTTATTTTAAGTAATAGTTGAGGGAAAAACGTGATTTTTAATTAGTTATTATAAATGAGAATAATATTAGCTTAAACAGTAAACTGGAAAGGATATTATCTTAAATAACAATCAACACGCTTACAGTTTAATATCTGCGTAGTGATTATGCAACCTTTCTTCTCCTCCTCTCTCTCTATATATATCACCATTCCAAAACAAAATGGCTCTTCTTCTTCTTTGTTTAAAAATATATATTAAAAATTGATTAACTCTCTAAATTTCACATATGCAACATAAATCACAATAATTAATAATTTAAAATATTTAAATAAATATATTAAAAAAATTGATGAACTATCTAAATATCACATGTGCCACATATATTATTTGAAAAGTATTTTGAAAAGTATTATATAAATAATTAACAATAAAAAATATTTAAACATTTAGTTGACTCTCCTAATTCTATCTATGTTGCATAAATTAAAATAAAATAAAATAATAAGTCTGAATTTTTGTATCTAGTGTATTTTAAGTAATAATTGAGGATTAAAAAACTGTTTTTTAATCCGTTACTATATATAAGAAGGATATTAGCTTAAACAATAAGCCTAAAACATATTCGTTTAAACAGCAAGCTAAACACGGTTAAGAAAGATCATGCAACCTTTCTTCTTCTTCTCTATATATCGGCTAATATCGCCATTCCAAAACATTGACAATCAAAAGGTTCTTCTTCTTTGTTTTGTCTGTCTGTCGTCGATATTCACGGCTACAAGTGAGTAAAATTTCATTCTTTAGGGCTTTTGATGCATTGTGTCCTGTGTTTATGAGTTTTTGTAAATTTTCTTTCATTACTTGCATGTTGGTTCCTGTTACTTGATAGTTTATGTGGTCGGTCCAATCTCCATATTCTCGTACATTGTTCTTGAGAACACAATTTCTCCACTTTCTTGCATTCTTGATTCCAGAAAACTGAATCTGGGAATGTTGCTCTCTTCTTCTTCCTTTTTCTTGGTACCCTTTTCTTTGTGATTAGTTCTTGTTAGTTGATATATTTTTTATGCCGTTTAATTTCCCCTTTTCCAAATCCATTATATATCTGTTTCTATATATTGTAATCCCAAGAGAACATTCTTGGTATTAATTAGTACACATAGTCTACTAGGTGGATACATTACTACATAAACATATGAATCAATATAGTTGAAATCAGGTTCAACAATCGATGTAGCGCGGATCCAAGATAAGTGGCATGACGTAGATTAACACTACTATAAGAAAAAAAAAGGAAAAAAGATTGAGACCTGTAAGCGGTTCTTGATAACAAGAATTTGTTTTCATATACTCTAACAACGTATTTTTCAACTTTCTTGCATATTTTTCAAAGATTAATTAAAACTTAATTCTGTTTCTAGCTTGATTTTGGTACATTCCTATGTCTCAGAAGAAAGACCACATAGGCTATTGCATGGGAAATAGGGAATGACCTACACACACTCTTTGAATATGTTTTTCCCAATGATTTCTTTGCCAAATGGGATTAATTATAGCATTATTTCTCGCCTGTGGTCCAAGTGAGGATTGGAATTAATAGATGCTACACTTAATACTGCCAATTTCATGAAAGGAGAAATATCATATTTACTTTTCTAGAGAAGCAAGGTGGCTTTGGAATTGGTCGAAAAGCTAAATCTGCTCCTTGTGGAAGTAGCTATGCTTCTTGAGTTGTACGCTTCTAAAAAAATGTTAGTAATAACTGCAGTACATCAGTGGGATTTCTTATGGTGGGTAGTGTTATTGCTTACAATTTCTAGAACCGATCTTGTGCCAGGTATTCATGCTTGTAGTTATCTTTAATTAGTGATTAGAAAATCAATTCAATCTGCTTTCCGGACTGCAGGGCCATTAGACTTAATGCAGCAACAAATGCTACATCTGGTCAAACACAAACCGTATCTATGGGTTCGTCCACTTTACCTACATTTGGAAAGAAATATGACTTTATTAGTGTGGTCAATGAACCTCTAGTGTGGTCCAGGGATGTCAATGTCTCAGATTCCTCCATACTTGGATATCCAAGAGCTCCTGCATTTGTTGTTTCAAGCAACTCACACTTTGGCATCCCTAGACTTGATTCATACTCCTTTGGCCAACCAGCAGTATCCATGTCAGGGTGCAAGGTTAACTTTATTGTCCATTTTCTCATGTATTGGAGCAGATTAATCAATGTTTCGAGGGAGAATTTTGCTCTGTAATGAGTAATCTGTATGCTCTATATTGATCTGAAATCCTTGTCGAGCTTTTACTAAATACCACTAGGTACTATTTATTACTACATCATATTTTTTGATATCTTAAGTGTTCAATCTTGATCAAATTTGCAAACCAGGAAAAGAAAGTACACACCACCTTTTCTTAAGAACTCTGGTTTTGGAAAGTCAGCATTTGGCATTAATCAGAAAGGAAGTAGAATAACATCATATATTGCAATTCTAGAGAACGATATCACAGGACCTGGTAGTGGAAAAATTCAATCCATTTGTGGAATACAATGCAGACTTATAAAGATAAAAGCCAGGAGGAGTTGAGGTTCTAGCACTACCAGTTAGGTGATAAAGGTATCCTTAATTTGTTCTCTTCTGTAATCTATATGTTCTATATTCATCTGAAATCCTTGTTGAGCTTTTATTAAATACTACTAAGTACTATTTGTTCCTACTTCATATTTTTAGATATCTTAAGTGTTCAATCTCGATCAAATTTGCAAACTAGGAAAAGAAAGTACAACACCCTTTGCTCAAGAGCTCTGGTTTTGGAAAGTCCGCATTTAGTATTAGTTTGAAAGGAAGTAGAACAACATCATACATTGCAACTCCAGAGATAGATTGCACAAGACCCGGAGGTGGAGAAATTCAATCCATTTGTGGAATGCAGACTTATCAAGAAAAAAGCCAGGAGGAGTTGAGGTTTGAGGACTACCAGTTAGGTAATAAAGGTGTCCTTAACTTGTTATCTTATCTGTAGATAACAAAGAAATCTACCTTGCATTCAATTAACACTTTTTATACTTCATGGTGGGTGAATTTGCAGGTCAGAAATGTTAGTCTTCATTTAGTGTTTCCAACACACAGGGAGTGTCATCGACAACACTAGGCCTTTCAAATCACTAGTATTTAACCAATCAACTGTTGATCAACCTTTTTATTCCCATTTTAAGTACATTTGCAGTGGAAAGAACAGGGCTTGACACAATAAAATGAAAAATTCTACAGCAACTGCATCTACCCATTTCCGAAGTCACAGCAGTTCATTTTCCATATATTTCCCCCAACACATCATTAATAAACTCTTGTGCACTGGAAGTAGAGTTGAATCTAGTGCCTCAGATGTTTCTCCTTTCTCCATGGATCCATTCAAGGCCATTTTCACCTTTAAAACCAACTTCCAGTTCTTCCACTACATCCACCTTTTCTCCATTAAGGAATCCATGGGCTTTATCAACATCTGCCACTCTATCACATAACAATCTCCACTGTCTCCATGTTCAGTGTCACCTTCCACGTATACTTAGTTAACAAAACTATCAGGCCACTCCTGTTTTGTCAAAAGAACTTTTCTCCCTCTCCTGTTTTAACTATAGGAGGCCATCCACAATCGACATTATGTTTCAAGCACTCCACTTGCTGCTAGTTAAAATACTTCTAAGTGTTTCTGATCGTATGTGCAGTTAGATCTCATTTATACCTCTCTGCCATTGACTTTCTGTCATATATAAATAATATAAAACACACCTTATGGTCTATAAAATTGGTGAAGCACTTCTACTGTGGTGTTGTACATCTAAGCTATTGCTACTCTTGCAGCCTTTGTTCTTTGGTCCTCTGCAGCCAGAAATGACTCCTAAAGTTGGAGCAACACTTCCAACAACCAACGCTTCTCACCCATCAACAGGTACTTCGTGCAGTTTGCCTTGCTCTTTTGAGGTTGATAGTATGTTGGATTGTAATCCATGTAACTAATCCTCCTAGCACCTGTTTTTTCAGAAGGGTCTAGTTGCTCAGAAATTGGACAAGGAGGTGGTCAGCCAAGTATCAATGACCAACAGTGAGTATCAAACTTAACCATTTATTGTTTTACTTACTGCGTGAGTTATAAAATTCCTAATTTTGACTTCTAGACTTTCCTGACATTCTTTTTATTTCCACTGCCTAAGTTATTACTCCACAGCCACGTTTTAACCTGATAGTTTTATTCTTCTTCTGGTTACTAATTTACAGATATGTGTCTCAAAATCCTACTAAGACGTTCTTGAACAATGATCTATTGGCCTTTCCCATTCAGCATTGCATTGTACATTATGCTTATGTACTTGTGAAAGAAATATGATGCCTGTCGGATGCAGTGTACATATGGAGAAGTGAGAACCTTGTGAGATGATGTCTGTTGGGTGGGCTTTGTAACGTTGGTACCTTTGTCTTTGGTGCCTAGATTGTTATTTTTTTAATTGTCTCTGGCCTTTTTCTTTTTAAAACATTTTCTTGCTATATGTATCAGCATCCTTGGCATACTCGTATTGGTAACCTTAACATCTTTGACACTCAGTACTTTGGTATTTGTGATGATTATATCCATGTGCTTTTGCTTTGTTTATCACTTTTGTCTTTGAATGCAACAAACTGTGTCTTGACTCCTCTTGTTTCTCTTGAGATAACATATGGCTTAACGTTCTTTTTGTTCTTTCTTTTGGGGCATGCTTTTGTAGGGTGCATGGCAGCTTTGGATGCTGAAAATTACTTGCAAGAAATCGGTGCCCAAGAGGGGTCTGTCTCTTCTTTTTCTTGCCTCTGTGATCCTTTATTTGTACTTTCTCATGCACCAGCTATACCTTAACATATTTGCAGGTCTTACTTTCCGAGAATCATGGAAGTGAATCCATCACCAATTATGCCTCCTGCTTTTCCTAGAATCATGGAAGTGAATCCATCACCAATTACGCCTCCTGCTGAAACACAACCTTCAGTCCAAATCTCGGTAGAGCACCTGAATTTGGCAACATCCATCCAGTATGGAATTTCTAGTTTACCTGTAAGTTCACATTTCTGAACAACTAAGCATAATTAATGTTGCTCCTAGATGTGTTCATTGGTCTTAAACCAAGTATCATACTCACTAGAAGTTACATGATGTTTTGGGATGCCTCATTACTATTGCTATAAATGTTATGCACCTTGAAAGACAGTTTTTGGTTTTACTGCATCAAGTAGGTTTATTCTAATTAATTTCAGTATTTCTTCAATAAGATGTAAACATCAATATAGCTGTCCAAGTTCCAAACAAACTCTCCAAAGTATCAGACATGATAATGTTTTTATAGCTGCACTTTTATTGTTAAACTCATACTGTTTATGTTTAACGTGAAAACAGAAGTTGTAGGCTATTATGAAAATTTCTACTGTTGTGGTTGCAGGTTTCTAACAACCCTACTACGATCAGACGAAAATCCTCGTTGATAATTCGACATTCATCTCTAAGTCAGCATATGTTGCCACCGAAATACAAACCTACAAGTGATATACCAAAGGTGAAAAGTTGGATTTTATGTGAGACTTGTTTAGTAGTTTGTGGCATGCTTTGGTTGATGGACTAAATTTTAAGATAAACACATATCATATGCAAAGATTGCAAGTACGGGTATCCTTTTGGTGATATAATACAACACAAAGTCCATATTTTCCTCTAATCCAAGTAAAACACTGGAAAATTTAACAGGACTATAAAATTTGTTTATGTAGTTCTCTTTTTCATGGATGAAGAAAACACTTCTGGTGTACTAAGGACAGAAGTCATCATCATTCCAAGGGACTGGGCAATTTTCTAAAATTTTCCCCTCTACCAACAGCGTTGAAGTTTGAGGTGGGAATTCACTCAGGGTTTGAGGTGGTAATTTTCCTTTCTACCACACGGCTCAATTTTTCTGTTTATTTTATCAAACAGGGATCAGGTATTTCATTTTTTTGGTAACTAAAAACTGTGGAACCTAAATTTTGCAAAATCAAAACCAGTAGCGAATATGAATTACCAGAAACTGAATTGTTTTGGATCACTGGTCTTGTATTTGGATGCAGGAACTTGTAACAGGTGTTCCGACATTCCATGAGAGGTGTTCATCTTCTCTGCTAACAACAACAACAAACCCAATGTAGTACCATAAGCAGGGCTCTGGGATAGAGTGTTCACAGATCCCTACCTTGTGGAGGTAGAGAAACTATTTCCGAAAGATCCTCAGCTCGAGTAACGCACATCAAAGTAGTCAAAAGTTCTGTCTTTTCTACTATTGTAAGATAATTGTACCAGCTAAAAACATCTAAAGAACAATGGAACACTATAGAGTTCAGGAAGATAAGGGTAGGATAAATCTCAAAGGTGTCGAAAATAACTAATTTTGCCTTTACTAGCATTCCTAAAATTTATTTAAAAGTGCTTTCAGATTGCGGCTTTCTAGTTATGTTGAGAAGTCTATAGGAAGCTTACCTGAGATTTGGTGTTCTGTTAACCACATTGCCTTTTACACAGAGGAAAAAGAAGAAATTGTGTGGAGAGTATTTTCAAAGTATTTCCAAATAGAATAAGTTGGTATTTTATCTTGACCTATAGGTTATTGGCATCTTAATGTATATATTTCTATGTGTCTATTTATTGTAACAGGATAATTGTTATTGCACTTTCTGACATATTGTGACTTGATCACATGTATGGATTTAGCAAAGAAGTTGTTGAATGCCATGTTATGTCTTTTGATGAAATATCTATAGACATCTCTTCTTAGTTCCATGGGGAAATTTCCCTGTCACGAGAATAAAATGGCTAAAAAATGTATTGCCTGAGTCACTGGGCTACTAAAAGATATCAGATGGAGACCAAAATTCTGGGGGGCGCTAGTATTTAACCAAATAGGGGAGGGGGTGAGGGAGTGGTTGGGCTATAGAAGAAGAGGTGAGGGAAGCGGTGGTTAGTTGTCTGGGGGACAAGGCTCCGAGTCCTGATGGATTCTCTTTTGCTTTTTTCCAACAATGTTGGAGGATAGTCAAATGTGAGCTGTTGGTGACCGATGCAGAATTCAGAATTCAGGGGAGTTCGAGAAAAGTCTTAATGCATCCTTTGTTACTATTGTGCCAAAGAAGGAAGGTGTGACAAGTATAAAGGACTATAGACCTATTAGTCCGGTAGGAAGCATTTACAAGATTTTATTTAAGGTGCTTTCAAATAAATTAAAAAGGTTCTGGATGAGACGGTCTCCAGTTCTCAGAACGGTTTTATGGAAGGAAGACAGATATTGGATGCTGCTTTTGTGACCAATGAAGTGGTTAACTCTAGAAAGAAAAGGTGTGTGGGGAATTTTATGCAATTTGGATATTAAGAAAGCTTATAATCATGCGAAATTAGGATTTCTGGATTCTATTATGTCGATGATGGGTTTTGGGGACAAGTGGAGTAGTTGGATGACTAGATCAGGTTTTGCATTTCCACTGCAAAATTGTCATTTGCTGTTTCAAATCTTCTATCCTTGTTGAGACTTGAGATATCTTCCTGGAAAACTCATGTGTGGCAAGTGCCATTTTCTGTGTGAGAACTTCTCTCCTTGGGTGGTTAAAGAGTCACTTCTGAACTCATGTGAATTTTGGTAAAATATACATAGAGATAAAATTTAAAAATATGCTATTGAAATTTCAATGCACATACAATCTATTTTAGGTAATATGTTCCTTCTGCTCTCCCTTACTACAGATTGATTAGATTCCTCTGTGCTTGTAGAGCTGATGGACACATTCTCCTCCCTCTTTTACTCTATATGCTATTCTCATTACATCTTATGAATGTGACTGCATGGAATATGTTGTTTTGGGTAACTTCTTGAACGTCAAAGATCATGCTAGAAAAAATTATCATGATGTGGCTACAATGTTGAGAAACATCTCAATTAACTTTTGTAACTGACCCCTTGTTTCCATTTTGGTCTGTTGCAAAATGCTTTCCTCTGTAGTCTGTCCTATATTGGAAGTATTGTTCCTTAAATTAAAATCTGTCCAAAAGGATTTTGCTTCTTTTCTTGTTTATCACCTTTTCAAAATTACACTAAAAGAATATTGATACCAGGTTAGCACCTCTGTAGAGCCTCTGTTAATACAACTCTCCTTGGTGAAAATCAAAGTCATATGGAGATTATTTTATGATTCTACCATCTCAACTTATGAGACAAAAATGAAAAATGACTTCAACACAATACTCAAGTCCGATTTCTCTATGTTTTTCAATTTTCTCATGTTTGGTTGGACAAAATTTTGGGGAAAAAATCTCTAGGAAAGGAAGTTCCTTAAAAATGTAGAAAATGACTTCCCTAGTAGAATTAGAGAAAACAAGTTCCTTGAGTGAATTCCACACTATTTTTTATTTTTTTTGAAATTGGTAAATTATGAATTCCACACTAATTGCCTAATCCCCAGCCTCC